ACAGGAACAGCATGAAGCTGTGTCAGGAGAGGGTTAGGTTGGATATTAGGAAAATATTCCTCACCCAGAGATTGGTTGGGCACTGAACAGGCTCCCCAGGGCAGTGGGCATGACCCCAAGGCTGCCAGAGCTCAAGGAGTGTTTGGGCAACACCCTCAAACACGTGGTGGGATTGTTGGGGTGTCCTGTGCAGGGCCAGGAGCTGGACTGGATGATCCCTTCCAGCTCAGCATATTCTGTGGTTCTGTGAGTTTTGCTTTCTGCCTTTGCCACGCGGTCTCAGAACCTCCACATCCCCAGCTGGGATGGCCCAAAATACCTCATGTTTTCTACGATGTGCAGAGGCAGAACAGCCCTCACCCCAAAGCACTTTGGACGTTTGGTGACTGCGGAGCTCGAGCTGCTGCTGGCTCAGAGATTTGGACACCCACACGTGGCAGCTGGTGACCTACCTGCGTGGATCACTGAACATCTAATGTTCCAGCACGGGGCACGACAGCCTTGCTGTAGAGGCTCCCAACATGCTCAAGACAGTGTTAGCAAAGACCCTGCTCTTCCAGCCTTATGGAACACGGATTTTCCCTTCCCCTAGAGGCACCACACCAGCTGGAGGGGATGCTCAGCTTCCCCTACACCCCCCTCCCCTACAGCCTGCAATCCTGACTGCTCTAGTACCATCACAACCTCAATGTCCTGGACACCTAAGACCCCTTTTTAGGATCACCACAGACCTGCTCCGTAGAATTTTAACCTCCACGGAGAAGGTTAAAAATCCAGGGAAACTGCTAACTTTGTGGCTGTAAGTGACATCTAGTGGAAACGGCAGGGAAAATGAGTCCACAGGTAAAATACTGATCCCGTTGGATTCAGGGGTGAAACTGAGGCCTGTGAGTTGCAACTTCAGCCCTGCAGCTTCTTTTCAGGGCTTGTAAAAAAAAACCACAATAAAATAGCTCTCCGTGCATGGGTATGACTTGCAGAGAGAGCTTGTCTCTCACACCAGTGAGCAATGTGAAAAGCGAGGTGGCTGTGACATGACAGCTGTCCCCTGGCCTTACAGCTGCTGTCCCCAAGCCAGGAGCACCACAGCCACCCAGACCATGCACTGGCCCGCTGCCACTGTGCTGCACTTTGGGTTAAAACAAGGTGCTGGGGTGACTTTGCACTGAGGGGCGTTGTGGTGATTTAGGTCTTGGCTGTCCTCTGGCAAGGGAGCAGCTACAGTCATGGAATCGTGGTTTGGGTTGGAAGGGACCTTAAAGCTCATCCAGTTCCAACCCCCTGCCATGGGCAGGGACACCTTCCACTGGACCAGATTTTTCCAAGCCCCATCCAACCTCGCCTTGGACACTTCCAGGGATCCAGGGGCAGCCACAGCTTCTCTGGGCAACTTCTCTGCAGCTTTTCCTGCCAGGTTCTGGGCACAGCTCTGGGGCAAGGGACAGTGTCCCACAGCCCCTTGTCTGGCAGCGCCTGCAGAGAGGCAGAGCTGGGGAGTTCCTTGCAGAACCTGTCCCCCAGGGATGGTGCATCCAGGATCACGGATACTGAGCCCATCCACGTGCCCCTGAGGCAGCTGCCTGCCCTGTTTACCCTGCTTTCCTGGCATTGGAACCGCCACCCCTGCCCCCGGGGCTGCCACCCCTGCCCTGGCTGGGACCAGCACAGCGTGGATGTAGCCCGGAGCTATTCTTGTGTAGAGCAAAGCCAAAGCTTGCAGGGAAATCTGAAACCCAGCGAGACTTGGATTAGCAACCCGAAACTCTGGCCAGGATACGAGCTTTTGGAAGAGCTTGGCAGAGTTTCAGGCGAGTGCGGGCTGAGTTTCAAGTCAGCAGAGGCTGACCTTTGCGTGAGCCTGCTGCTGGCGGCTCGGGAAGCATGGGCTTGAATTTTAAGAGAGCCTGGGGAGCGAGTTTCAGGCAAAAAAAAAATCCACCAAAATAGTTAAAGGGTTTAGGCAAAAACAATGCGGAGAGTCTTGTGGTTTGGGGGTGATAATTCCTGCTCACCTGCCCCCAAACCAGCAAAACCAGCCCTGGTGGTTACAGCTTCCTTGCACTTCGAGTTTCAGGGCAGAGTTAACCCCTTCCTCAGCGTGGAGGAGCTGCTCCTCCCGGGCTTTCCCTGGGGTGGATCTGAATTCCGTGTCTGCTCCCTCCCTGTCTCCAGGGAGGTCTCGTGGCAGTGAGGGTGCAAGGTCAGAGCTCTACCTGAGCAGCTCAGAATTCCCTAATCCGAGGACTGAGCTATCCATGGGGCAGTTTGTACCTCACAGGAATTTATGGAAGGGAACAAATGCATCAGATGAGGGGGAGATCACAAGATGGAACGGCTGGTGCTCTAAGAGCAGAGGACCAGAGTCCAGAGCCCAGCCAGAGACAGGCAGACAAGGTCAGGCACTATCAGTGACCGAGGCTGAAGAATGATCCAACCAAAAAGGAAGAAGGCATGAGAAAATAACCACAAACACAGTCTGTCCTGGGCAGTTGGAAGCAGCAAGGGCCAACGTTGTCTTGCTCCTGAAGCTGTGGACACATTTCGTTTTCCATTATGTTTTTATTTTTTTTCCATTGCTTTTCCTGCGAACTCATCTCTCTTCCTCCCCTCACACACAGCATGTGATGGGTGTAGATCAGGGCAGGGAGGACATCTTCGTAATCAAACCCACATTTCTCTGCTCTGTCTGTGTTGTCTCACAGTGAATTCAGCCAAACCCCCATACTCGTGATGTTTTAGTGCTGGTTTTAAGAGCTGCATGAAGGTGGAATTTTCCCAAATGGAGTTTCCTGGATAGGAAATTGGTTATCTCAGAGTATTATTCCATAAAGCTCTGAAAGCTCCTTTCCCAGAAGTCAAAATCCCTTTACCCTTGGAGTAACAAATGTGGAGCTTGAAGCCACAGAATGGGTCTTTATCCCAAAGGAAGTGCCCTCCTTGGCACTCCTGGTTTTCCTCCCTAGACTCCTTTTCCATGCCCTTGACCCTGGCTCTTTCTCCCACGCTGTGTCCTGTGCCACGAGGCACAGAGAGGGGCCTCATCTGCTGCTTTATTTCAGGCCCATCTCTAATTACACATTGACATTAGTTATTTATATAATGTCCTTAACACCACAGCGTCAGTCCTGGAGGTGCTGGGAGGTGCTGGGACGAGGTGCTGGGAGGCTCTGCAGGTGCCATCCACCGGATGGTGCTGGAGCAGCCCTGTAGCAATCCCAGCATCTGGCATCACCTCCTCGGGAGAGCCGGAACCAGGTATCCCAGAGAGGCACCACGTGCCAGAAGGAAATCAGAGCCGGGCTGTCCAGGCTGCCACTGCTGGATGTCCTTGGCAGGCAGCACCGTGCCCCTCTGCCACCCTCGAGGCTCGGGGCAGGGTGCCATGCCCTTGAAGGCCACGCTGGGCTTTTATCCCCCCCGGAGGAAGGCAGGGAAGCGGCGGCAGATGTGTCATTTCCCCAAGGACAGCGCGCGCGGGCTTCGCCCTGGACAGCTAAATAAATAGCGGGATGTCTCCTGCGCTGAGACTTGTTTGTGTCTGGGGGGCCGGGGTGGGACGTGTGGCGGGGTGTGTGCAGTTCCTGTGGGGTTTGGAGCGTGGCTGCCCCGGCGCTGGGTCTGCAATGTGACGCTGATAACGCGGGCCGCCAGCCCGCTGCTGGCTCCCAGTTCCGTCTCGCTGCCTCTGCCCCTTTCATGTTCTCTGCTGCGGTTTGCAAGGCTGAGTTTAAAGGTTTCTCTGACTAACCCTGGCTGCCGGGCTCAAAGGGAAGGAAGTCGACTGCAGCCAAGAAAAGGAAGCCAGTTGGTTTCCCTTCTGCGTCTGCGAGTTGTGTGAGGGGGAGAAGGGTGTAGCCAGATCAGACGTGAGATAGGGATGGGAAGGCAGCAGACCTCTTTCCTTCCATATTTTCTCGGCTGGACAAGCTCCCTGCATGCGTCAGCCTGGAGCAGGGAGAAGGGAAGCGTGTCCTGGTCAATATTTACCCCTTGATTCCAGCTGCTGGTGGGCTGGACCCTCCTGGCTCGCTGCCGGGCTGTGCAGTGTGAGGCGGCAGCCACGACGGGGAGCTTCCATCCCGCGGGATGGCCGGGGCTGGCAGGGCTGGCAGGACAGGGCAGGAGGTTCCCTCCTCCCAGCCGGAGCCAGCTGCTGGCCCTGGCTCCCTGGAATGGCACGGCCAGCACCCCAGCCCAGCTGAGGACCCCTGCAGAGCATGTGGGTCCCTCTTGGTTCCCACAGCATTCCAGGACCCCTGAGGGGGGTTCAGAGCATGCGGATCCCTTTTAGATCCCCACAGGACCCCCAAGGCAGATGCAGAGCATGTGGGACCCTCTTGACTCCCATAAGCATCTGCAAGACTCCTGAGGAGGATGCAGAACATGTGGGTCCCTCTCAGCACCCAGAGCAACTACAAGAACCCTGAGGTGGTTGCAGAGCACGTGGGTCCCTCTTGGCTCCTGTAGCATCTGCAGGACCCCCAAAGTGGATGCAGAGCATGTGGGTCTTTCTTGGCTCTCCCACAACATCTGTGGGACCCCCCAAGGTGGGTGCAGAGCACGTGGGTCCCTCTCAGCTTCCACAGCATCTACACCACTGGCCATCTGCAGTTGTGGGGGCTGCAGCATCCTGGTAGAAGGAGTGACCAGAGCCTCAGGGCAGTGCTGGCCCCCCCCGGGCTGGGGCTCACACTCACAGCCACTGTCCTGCAGCAGCTACTTCAGGGCAGCTATTTCTGGCCCCTGGGACAGGGAGGGCATGTGGTGGGAGGCAGCTCCGGGGCTCGTGGGAGCCGAGGGCTATTTCTGGCTCTGGTTGCTGACCTGCCAGGCCACCCTCGGCCAGTAACTCCCTGGTGCCAGGCTCACCCAGAGCCTCCAGCCCCAGGCTCCCTCCAGCACGTGGACCAGGTGTCCCTGGGCGGGTGTGGGACGGCTGCCACACGCACCCTGCAAGGTTTGTCACAAGACCACGACGCTGGCTGTGATCTTTTGATGTCACTCTGCGGTAGGCTGGCAGTAAGTGCCCTGGGAGTGCTCTCAGAGGGTGAACCATGCCCTGGGGCGTGCTTTTGTCACCGTGGAAATGACGACTGAGGCAAAGGGTGGGTGTGTGTGGGAAAAAGGACAGTCATTGCCATCCTGGTGTCCCACTCCCTCGTGTGACAAAAGGTGCCAGCTCCGTGGCCTTTGCCCCCTCTCCGTGTGCCATCCCACAGAGCGATCCCAGGCTGAGGGCAGAAGGGAGCAGTGGGCATCAGGAGTGGTCCCAGGGCCCCCAAACGTGGCTGTGGGACAGACACACATTGGCTGATGCCCTGACATGTCCCCCACCAGCTTCTATATATGGGCCTGCCCTCTCTGAACCCACCGCACTGGGCTCTCAAGTGACACGCTGGGGAGGAGGGGGGGGTCTATTTTTAGCCCCTGAATGGATCTGTGCTGGAGCCGAGCTCTCTGCCCCCGTCAAGGGTACGGCATCATGTTGTGCTGGGAGGATTTTCCTGCGTGGCTCTTTGAATGGCTCCATCCCCACCTTGGGTTGGGGTACAGGTAGGATTCAGCTTTGTGGTCTCTCTGCTTCTTCTGCTGCTGGATCCCCACTGTTTTGGGCTCTGTTGCAACTCCCTTCCCCGGGGCCACGGCTATGGAAGGAGCTGCCATGGCTTGCTGGAATGTCCTGTTTGGAGTGTGCTTCGTGCTCCCCTCCTGCGTGATGCTGTGGCAGCAGGAATGCTCAAGAACAGAAATCCCACAGTTTTTAAAATGGGTTGTAGGCAAGAGGAGTAGGAAAGGGGCATGTGAGATGTGATGCTGCTGGGCTGCTGTGGAGAGAATCCCAACCCCTCTGTGCAGCTGTGGAGAGAATCCCAACCCCTCTGTGCTGCTGTGCTCGGGGAGCAGAGGCAGCAGGGACCAGAGGGGGGTAGCAGTGGTCTCTCTCACTGCTGGCTGGGTTATGGTCCAGCACAGCCATCCCCATCCTGCTGAGTCTGCCAGGAGCTGGAATTTCAGCTGGAAAGATGGGAGGATGAGTGAGGGCGAGTGAATGCAGATGGCAGGGAAGGAACCCGTGGGGACAGGATTAGGGGCACACACCTCACCTATGTCTGCCAACACTAGTGCCACCTCCTCATGCCCCCATCTCTCCCCCTCCTCCCCCACTTTGCTTTCCCGCTGCAGGCATGGATAACTTCGAGTACAGCATCCAGCTGAACGACAGGGAATGGGCCGAGTTCTTCTTGGCCTCAGAGGAGTGCAACCTCGCCCCGGCCTCGCTGGCCACGGCCGAGGAGCAGTGCCTCAGTGACATTGAGCAAGGGGACGGCCACGCCAGCCCCGACAGGCTGATCCCAGCCAGGGAGGGCAGCGAGCCAGCGCCTGGCACAGGGAGCTCTGCCCCACGTGGGGTGCCCGGAGACACCCCCCTGCGCTGGCAGGCCGGTGGGCACCTCTCCCCGCCGGAGCTGCTGTCGGGCAGCGAGGACGAAGCGGAGCTGGGCTCGGTCGGCAGGTTCCTGTGCGAGAGCGACCAGCCCGGCCCTGCCATGCCCAGCGCACAGAGGAGGCAGCCCCCTCGTCCCCCTGCAGCCCCCCTGGCCGGCCAGGCTGGTGGCACAGCCCAGGGCAGCCCAGGGCAGGACGGAGCAGGCGAAGCGGCAGCGTCAGAGAAAGGAGCAGCCGGAGGCAGCCGGGACATGGAGACCCCCAGCACTCCAAGCGCCCCCGAGCAGGGAGGGGACTCAGGAGGGGGACAACCCGTGGTGGCACAGCCGGGGACTCCGGTGGGGAGCAGTTCACCAGCACCCCCTGCCAGGAAAAGGCATCCCAGCGCTTCCCACCCGGAGCCCAAGCTGCGGGGACCCCCGTGTGACTCCCCCAGCCCATCCCCGGGGGCTGCGCAGGAGGAGGCGAGTGGGGAGAGGGCGGGGGCCGAGCAGAGCTCCCCAGCCGGGTCCCCCAGCGTGGTGAGGCCCAAGGTGCCGGGGCAGCAGAAGAAGAGCCGCAAGCAGCGAGGGGCCAGCGCTGCCGAGGGGGACAGGGAGCCTGTCCCTGCAGCCGCACAGGGACCCGGGAAGGCACCTCCGGGCTCGCCAATGTCCTCTCGGAAGAGCAAAGGGAAGGAGAAGGTGGCCAAGGCGGCTTTAGGGAGGATGAGCAGTGAGGAGGCGGCGGAGAGCAAGCCCCCAGTGCCCGGCCCCAGCGTGGATGAGGAGGATCCAGCCAGGAGTGCTCCCCCGAGGCAGAAGGGGAAGGAGCCAGGGGCACAGTCCCCGGGGAAGACAAAGGCCACCAAGCCCTCAAAGGCAGGGCAGGCTGGTGGCTTGGGCGTACGTGACGGTGCACCAGTGATCCCTGACAACGGAGCCGTGGCTCCTTCGGGAGAGGCATGCCAGGAGATGCCAGGGATGCCTCTCCAACCCAAGAGTGTGGCAGCTTTCGGAAGGGATGCTGCTGAGGGAGCCTGTAGGGATCCTGCAGCTGAGATCCCTGGAGTCCCTGCAGCTGAGATCCCTGGGGTTCCTGCAGTTGAGATCCCTGGAGTCCCTGCAGCTGAGATCCCTGCGGTTCCTGCAGCTGAGATCCCTGCGGTTCCTGCAGCTGAGATCACCAGCAAGCCCTCAGAGATCCCCATGGTTCCTTCAATTGAAATCCCTTGGAAGCCTGCCCCTGAGATTCCCAGGAAGCCTTCATTTGGGATCCCCAGGTCTCCTGCTATTGACATCCCTAAGAAGACTGGGATTCCCAGGGTTGTTACCCCTGAGATCCCTTGGGAACCTGCCCCTGAGATCCCCAGGAAGCTGAGCCCCCCGTGCTTTGCAGATGGGGCTTCTCCAAGGTCAAACACCCTGGACGTGACCTGGCCTGAGATGTATGACTATTTTTTCTGTGATTCCCAAGAGGAAGAAGAACTGGGGAGCTCAGTGGAGGGGCGGAGATCACCCTTGCAAAGGGAAATATCCTGGCCTGAACTGTACGAGTATTTTTTCAATGAACCAGAAGGAAACAGGAAAAAAGGGAAAGGCAAAGACAGGAAAAGAAAGAAGTTCAGCAGCTTGGACCACGCTGGGCTGCAAAATGAGGATGCCAGTTCAGCTCCAGTCAAGGACACTGTGATTATCTCAGTCCCCGAGGTGTGTGATCACTTCTTCCCGGACAGACCTAGGAACAGGATGGGCTGGAGAGGGATTTTCTCAATCGCTCCAGCCTCCGAGGTGAAGAGAGCTGTGGGGGCTCTGAAGTCCCTCCTGCAAAGGCAAATCCACCCCGACAGAGGCCAAGCCTCAACCTCCCAGGCTCTGGTGCCGAGAGGATCCGCAGAGAAGTTCGCCCTCGTCCCACTGGCTCCCCCAGGAAGAGGCCAGGAGTGGCCAGAGGGTGAGGAGATGGCCCTTGCACTGAGAGGTAAAGCATGTTATCCCCTGTAGGGATGTGTCCCACGCTGTGTCACGCTGGCTCTCCCTTGGGATGCTCCCACTGTCCCTGTGCCAAGCGAGTGCCGCTGGCCCGGTCCTGCGGGCTGGCTCCCAGCACTGCAGCAGGCATGGACAGGGAATCTGGGACTTTAAAAACACGCTCTTAATTCAAAAAACACCCCCCAGAGGTCACCTCAACGTTGACTGTTCCTGGAGGCAGGTAAGAGAAACAGGAATAAAGGGAGAGAAGTTTGACCCAGGAGGACAGCCAGTGTATTTGTCTTAAAGCTTATATGATGCTTGGAGCCACGGGGCCTCGTAGTTAATATTAAACCCAAACAATGAGTGAGTCATTCCAAAGGGTGCCTCAAAACAGAGCTTCCAGTTGGTTTGCACGGAGAAAAGCCCCTTTGCCGTGGTCACAGATAATTAGGAAGTCAGTTTTAATTAAAAGCCTGATCAAATAAACATGGGAGCAAAAATAACCTACTCTTACAGCACGAAGTTCCAGCTGGAAATCCAGCAGGGGAGGAAATTTAGAGCACTCAGGGATGTCCCCATCCCTGGACTTAGCAGGAGGTGGGAGTGGGGTGGGATCAGTGAGATGCTGAGCATTGGTGCTTCTCAGGGGGATAGATGGTGTCCTAGAGCAGCCTTTGAGTGCCTTTGAGCACTGTCTGGCAGGAAGGGGCCTTGCCCAGAGGTTCTCAGGAATCACTTTCTCCTAAATCTACTCCCCAGACCCACTTCCAGCCACCACACTGCTCTGGGAAGATACACAGGGAGGTGTGAGGCAGCCCGAGGTCCTGGGATGGCATTAACAAACATTTGCCTCAGGATCTTAAGAAAGTCTAAAACTGAGAGGGGTGAAAAATGCGCCCCTCACTTTAGGAAATATAACTGAGTCCTAAATAGACACGTTTGACTTGACAAATGGTGGGAAAAAAAAGTCTTCAGGGAGGGAAAATGTGTGACAACGACTTGACTCTCTGGGAGCGCGAGGGACTCGTGTCCCAGAGGGACGGGGGCTGTGGCAAGAGGAGGTGGCATAAAACCCCAAACTTTGTGCTCCTCTTCTGGCAGGGGCAGCAGAGGATCCACGAGTGCTGACCCACAAAGACATGTGCCTGGTGTTCTGTGCCTTTGCGTCCTGGGCAGTGAAGACATCTGACCTGCAGGCTCCGGATGCCTGGAAGACCAGTACGTACAGTGCCCGGCCCGGCGGGAGAGGGTGGGAATGGCTTCGTGGAAGACTTGGCAGGGAGAAAAGCAGGGGATACAAATACAGCTACTGCTGCCTGTGGGAAAGTGCAGACAGTTCCCTGCTTTTCCAAAGAAGTGTCCTTTTAATGCCTTGCCTCTCTCGTGGAGTGGGAGTCCTGATTCCTGCTCACTCACGTTGTCCTTTCCCCACACCAAGTGGCTGCTGACAGGAGCTGAGCTGTAGGACAAGTCTATCCCCAGCCTTGACCCTGCTGCTGACAGGGACCAGGAGCAGTTTGTCAGGAGAAGAGAGGCTTCGTTAGGATCCATGCTGGCCAGCAGCGGGATCAGGACCTGGAGTGTGCAGGTTTAGGCTCCCTCATCTCAGCTGGAACAAGTGCATGTGTTTTTTTCAAATGTGCTATGAAGATATAACCTTCTTCCTAAATACAGCTTAGCTGAAGTGTTATCCTGGTGCACTGAGTCCTGCAGGTAAATGGAGCTCTGTTGGATCCTCTCCTCTCCATCCAGAACATTGGGATAGGTGATGGGAAGACAGGAAGCTTGGGAATCACAAATTTGTTGAGCCCCTCCAGGAGTGTGGGTGGCTGGATGAGCAGGGAATGGGGCAGTGAGAGCAGCATTCCTCATTCCTACCCTGGAGGGAGCAACTGAGTGCAGGGTCCAGCCCTGGAGAGCCCCTTCCATGGGATGAGATGCTGGGAACGAGGCTTCCTGCTGCTTGTCCAGGGGGAGGAATGTTCCCCACTAAGGTCACACAGGAAGCTGACACCCTGGGCTGAGAATAGCTCATTAGCTAAGGCTGCTCAGTGCCATCATCACAAGGAGCTTTTGGCCTGCTCCTCCTTGTCTTCTGGGTATGGGATGGTGGACGTGGCCTCGGGGAGGTGAGAAAAGCGGGATACGGGTCCTCGTGCCCTTGGGATCACATAACCCTGGTGAGGATGGGAGATGGGAGGCAGTTCCACCTAGTCCTGGACTAGCCACTCTCTTTAGGCATCCTAGGTTCCAGTTGAATTTCCCTGTTTCTGTCACTCTAACACATAAATCAAAATCAAGTCTGAATTTAAACTGGGAACTCCAAAGGCATGGCTTGGATTCCCGGTTTTGCTTGGGAATTTAACCTCTTTTATAAACCAAGCTAAAAATATCGGCTGACAGTACAAAGCTTGATTCTGTGTATAATCCCCATTAGTTATTTGTTGTATCTCTACATTTTTTGTTTGGGGTATTTTCTGCTTTTGGCTGGGACCAGAAAATCCACAGATAATCCACAAAATGGTATTTTGCTGGCATCTTCTTGGTCCAAACAGAAGTAGAAAATGAAGGGACTGTCCTGAAGCCCTGGTGAGATTTTCTACTGTGTCTTCCTCATCCAGGATTAAACCTGTGTATCCAACCAGTCCATTAAATCTCAACCTGAACCTGTGTATCCAACCAGTGCACATCCCTACCCCACACACGGAGCCTATTTAGTGTTTCCCTGAAAAAAAAGCTGTTTGCTGTGGATTGGTGGTGTGATCCATGTGCCCAAACTACAGCACTAGATGTGGGCAGCCAGGCTGTGGGTGTCTGGGAATGCACTGGGAATAAATTCAGTGTGGAGGGGATGAAAAACAAAGGCAGGAGGAGACAGGGGAAGGGAGGGGAGTGACCCCTCTACAGCCCACGGAACAGGGTGGGCCAAGCAGCTTGTGATCTGCAGGTCTGGAAAAAAGATCTTTTGGTTTGGAAGAAGCAGCCAGACTAACTGTGGGAATGTGTTGGGCTCTTTTCCAGTGTTCCTGGCAAGTTTTGGCACGCTCTCTGCCATCCGCTACTTCCGGAGGCAGGTCAGAGAAGGACACCCCCGGACTTAGGCTCAGCTCCCTGTCCTGGGGGCAGGTGGGCACAGTGGAGGCAGAGACTGGGGACTTTGTTCTTGGACAGTGTGAGAAGCCTGGATCCCAGCACCAAGACTTCTCTGGACCCATCCCTACATGGGACAGGACGTCACAGGAAGCAGGATCGTTCCGGTGACAGGAATTGATGGCACGGTAGGCAGTCGGTACCTGGACTGGAGAAAAGGGGAGCCCAGCCTGGGCTGGCTCTGGTCTTTCCTTGCACTCTCCTGGGACACTCCCTAGGAGCAGCCAGTGTCTGTTCCAGGGCACTGGTTATCCCTCCTCCCTGCTGAACTCACCTGGTGGCAAAGGAAGGCACTGACGTGGTGGAGGGAGGTGAGGGCAAAAGAAACCAGGAAAGTGCTTCATTCGTATGAAAGAGCTGGGATATCTGTGAAGGAAGAGTGGAGAGAGCTTTGGGAAGAGCTGTCTGTCCAAACATGGGGCTTGGCTAAGCGTGTGCTGACTAAAGGGGGATGGAGGGGCCGCTCTCCTGGCAGAGCCCAGGGCTCCCATGACTGGTTTGGCTCACTGCAGGAGGACTCATCCTCTTGGAATTCACTCCTAGAATTCACAATTCAGTGTAACAGTTCAGGAGGCTGAGATAAGGTTTCTGTTGCATGTAGCCACCTCAGCCCCGCTGAGCCAGAACCCCGTGGGTGAGAAGCACCCACTGCAAGAACACATCCCAAACCCGTAGGCAGAGGATGGACAGGGGTCACACAGCCAGAGCCAGGGGAAGGGGCAGCCAGGAAGGGTTCTGCAGGAGATGCACAGGATGGAAAGGGGCAGCAGAGAAAGGGGCTGAGCTCAGGGAAGTCTCAGGAAAGAGCCCTGACGAGGACAGGAGCATGTCGGAGAGGAGGAAGAAGTATGTGTACATGTTTGGCTCTGCTCAAACCACACAAAGGGTCTGGATATATGACTTATTCCCTCTTCTGCCTCCCACCCTAGAGGGGTAAAGTTGGCTGGGGGAGATGTGGGGTGAGGGGGGTTTGTAACCTGGGGGCCTGGGAAGGGCTCGAGGGGGCCCAGAGTGGAAGGTGGGGTGAAAAATAAAAAGGAAGCAATTCAGTTCCTCCCCTGTCTCCAGTGCCTTCCTCATCACTCAAGGGCATTATTCATGGGGATTTTTCTTGACTCCCAAGTCTGGTAACAGCATGAGTGTGAGATTAAGCACTCAGGGACCAGATCCACAAAGGTACAAAGGGAAATCAGCCCAGAATACCAGTGTGGATCTGCCTGTGAGCTTTATAGGAATGGTGTGGTGAGGTTTGTCTCATGAAACCAGAGAGGGGAGGTTTAGCTCTTTCCTTGTAATGCAGAGTGCCATGCAATTTTAATGTGTGTAGGGATGGACTGAAGACCATGTATTGTTGCTGATAAGAGAGCACACTGTGCAATTGTACAGTGAGATATGTAACTGTAAGCAGTGAGAGAGATGTACAGGCTCTATATGGACTATAGCAGCTGTATATCCAGCAAGAGGAGTTTCGTGGAGGAGAAGAACAGATAAAACATGCTGGAAGCTTCTAATAAAGTTCTATTTCATTTACTACTTTTGTGTACATTCCTCTGTCTACATGGTTGGTGTGGGAAACCGTTGAATGAGGACTGAGTTTTAAAGAATGAGAAATCAATGCATTATGTGCCTGTTGATACAAAACTGCAGGAGCTGATGGGCTGGTTTTTGGAGCCCTGGAGGACAGAGCATGCAGGGAGATGGGCTGTGTCTCCTCTGTTTGGCTCAGTCCCCCTGCCTGCCCCTCCGAGACACATCTTGGCTGTCACATGTCGCTAACAGCCTGTTCCAGAGAACCCTCCTGCCTCAGAAGCTCTCAGCTTCTCTTCAGACGGCTCCTCAGGGCCCTCTGAACAGATCAGTGAGCACAAGTCAGTGCCCAGCAGCAGCTCCTGCCTTCGGTCCATCGACCCTCATCACCTCCGTGCTCCCTGATCCCGCTCTCCAGCCCGGGCTGCAGCCAGGAACACCTGGCACTGCCTCCTCAGAAATGCCCAGCAGACCTGCCCCCTGCACCAAGCAGGAGCATCGGGGGGGGGGCTGAAGCATTCCATATGCTCTGGTTTACTGTTTATCCAGCCGTAATCCGTGAAGCTCTCCCCGCCTTCTCCGTGGCAGGTGGGAACAGCAGCCGGGGGAAGGCGGGTGGGAGACGGGGAACAGCTGGAGGAATCAGGCAATTCCATTGTGCTGGGCTTTCCTGGGAGGCTGCCACAGGAAAGGGCAGAGGAGGAGGGCAGCAGGCAGGTTTGCCGAAGGGAAGGGGTCTCTGGCACTGCCATCTCAGGACCCTGACAGGCCTCAGGGGCTCCGGCTCTTCCTGGCAGCTCTCACGCAGGGCGAGTTCCCCAGGGCGAGGACAGAGCTCAGTCCTGCTTGCTCGGTTTGAATTTTTCAGATTTTGTGTTTTCCAGCCTCGCCACAGAGATCTGGAGGAAAGAGTGTTTTCCCTTCCCTGTGCAGGTGCAGGAACAGCTCATTTCCCTCCTGGCCATGTACAGTACTGCCAGGTGCAACGCTGGCAGATAATAAAGGATTGTGTCAGAAATCACTGAATTTAATACTTGGCTGAGTGGTTTGTGTCTGTCTCAGTGATTGCAAAGTTGGCTTGGAGGTCTCACTGGAACTGGGAGGGTTTCTGGCCAGAAACCATAACGTTGAAGACATTTTTGATGCCATTAGCTGCTCCAGGAGGGGCTCTGCGCTGGCATGTGGGGAGTCTGCCCGTTCCCATATCAGCTGGATCTTTCCTAAGGGATGCCCTGGCTTTGGGGACCTCCTGTTCCCAGTGTCCCAGTCCAGAGATGGGATCCAGATACACAGCCAAACATGGCACTTGGGGTGGGAAAAGTAACTCCTGGCTGTCCCTGACCTGCGCAAGCAGGGAAAGGCTCAGTGGCACCAACTCTCAAGTTTTCCCACTCCAAAGGATATGGGGTATATCCCACCCTCTTAATGCCTCTGTCCCAGTGCTGTTTCTTCCCAGGAGAGCTGAGCACTCCTGTTGTGCTGCAGGGAACATGAGGTGCCTGCCACCCTTTGCCTGTCTGTGATAATTGGTGTCTGATCCTTTACAGCCTGGACTGGGAGATGTCAGTATGATTTGGCACCTCTGCCTGCTAAAAGTTACCAGAGGTGCCAGATGATCCAGCAGGTTACAGGTGCATTTCACACTCCTTTTGATCTGTGCTGGAAGAAGTGGATGAGATAAATATTTCAGGAGATGGATGTTTTCGGCTGACTGCAGAAGTGAAAGGAATTACTGAAAAGATCTTGCTGGTATCAGGAGATCAGCTCTGGGAGAGTGTGCTGTGCTCAGTCAAGCAGCAGTGTCCCTCAAGGAAACCAGCCCGGGCTTGCCTGCAATTTTAATGCTTGGTTTATTCTCCGACCTTTTAAGCCCTCTCCTCTCTCCCTCCACGGCGAGGCCGATGTGCCTGTATCTCACCCCAGAGGGAGCAGCCAGGACCTCAGCATCTTTATTTTTGCAACAGCAGCAGCCGCCGCAAGGGCAGCGACCTTTCGGTGCATCCTCGGTGCCCCGGGGCCGCTCTCCCCGCTCCGGACAGGGCGTCGGAGCCGGAGGTGGGACCTGTGCCACCCCTGCCCGCCGCTCTGCCTCGCACGTAGCTCCCTCATCTGACACCTCGCCTTGCCAAGCGCATGAAAAAGTCAGGCAGGTGCACCCCGAGGGACCGACTCCGGGTTTCATCCGGACACACCGTGTGCCGGAACCCCCCTGGAAGCGGGAGAAGCCTCTCCCCCCTTCTTCTTCTTTGTCGGAGCAGCTCCTTCGCTCTTTATTTCTTTTGCTTCGTCTCTCTGTGATAAAACCTTCCCACGGACATTCCCGTGGCCGTTTCCGAGCCGTGACTGGCTTCTCGGTGGAGTTCAGAGGGATTTTGGGGGGGCTTGGTGCCGTGCCAGAGCCGGGGGGGGAGCAGTGACCCCCCCTCTTATCTCGGACTGACAGAAGCGCCAGTTGCTCGGGTGGCTTGGCCAGCCCTGCGAGCCTGACATATTCTGGTGGATTCTCCCACCCACAGGGCAGTGAGGGAGTTGCTCGTCGCAGACCAGAACAGATCCTGCACATCCTCTTGGTGTCCTGGGAGCGGGTTTGCCCCAGCGGGTCCTTCCCAAACCTCAGCCGTCCGCACAAACTGCTCCCCAAGGAATTCCCCAAACCCCGAGTGCCTTTGTAAAAAAGACAACAAAAAGATGGGCAACGGGGCTCACTTGCTACACCTTGTGTTCATTACAGAGGCTTTTCTCCCAGCTCCTGGAGCCAAAGGAGCAGGTTGCAAGCTCCACTTTATTTTTTTTTTATACATCTCTGTGTTGTTTATTCTTTGAGGGAAAAAAAGGGTTGAAATTCTGGCTTGGAATTAAGAAAGCAGAGAGAAATCCAGCAGCCCACAGTGTGTCAATCACTGCTCTGGCTTTCCAGCTATGGAAAAAGTGGGGGGGGACACCTGATTGGGAACTTTTAACACTTGGAGGGAGTGAGGGGGGTGGGGAGATCGTTTGTCAGAGAGTGAATTGTTGGCAGCCAGTGTCTTCTCATGCCTTTCATCTGCCTCTGTGGATAAAGGCACAGCTATCCTGTGACCAGCAGGATGTGCACAGCCTTGCTGGCAGCTCCGGAGCACTGGACCTGCCTTTTGTGGATGACCTGGTCCCCATCGAATTCCTGCTGCAGCCAGGATGAAGGATGAATACATTTTTTCAGGAAATAAGAGGTGTGTTGTGTGCTTTCAGGTACTAATTTCCAATTCAATGCAACCTGCATGGAGACATCTAGTGCTGCTCTGAGGAAACCCTCTATTTTTAAATCCTGAGTCTGCTGAGAAATATGTTGGGGGAAAAGAAGGAGAGTGGGGGGTTTCACAGTCACAAACATCCTGTTCCTACCTGCTATGGATCCACCTGGACAGGAAACCATCAGGGAAAAACCAGTGGCCAGCAAAACCAGTGACTCAACAGGGAAAACAGGCCATGCAGAGGGACTTGGGTTTGGTCTTGACCAATTTGATGCTTGTGGGGGCTGGTTTGGGAATATTTTAGGGCTGGTCCACACACATTAATTGATCTGCATTATTATAGCGGCCTAGAAAAGCTGTGCAACCCTCTGAAGTCAGGACAGATAGGGGCTGTGGGACACTGTCCCTTGCCCCAGAGCTGTGCCCAGAACCTGTCAGGAAAAGCTGCAGCCACAGGGCTGCAGAGAAGTTGCCCAGAGAAGCTGTGGATCCCTGGAAGTGTCCAAGGCCAGGTTGGACAGGGCTTGGAACAACCTGGGATAGTGGAAGGTGTCCCTGCCCATGGCAGGGTGTTGAAAACAGGTGTTTTTGGGGTCCCTTCCAACCCAAACCATTCAGTGATCCTATGATTCCGTGTCTGATTTTACAGAGCACCTTTCCAGGACGTGGTGCTGAAGCAAAGTTTGATGAGCTTTGGCTTTAAACCTCCAGCCAGGTCTCACTGCCTGACAAACACTGGGGAGACTTTGCTCAAGGATTAGGTGTTTGCAGGTGCCTGACCTGAACTAGAGACAGCCAGCAGCCTGGAACCCTCCTGGATACAGGGCCCCGGGGAAGGAAGGATTTGGAAGGGACAGCAGCGATGGGGGAAAAAAAAATCACCTCCATTAATCCAGGTGATGGCAAAGAAAGAGAGAAGGAAATTATTCCATGGGAATGTGTATTGCAGTTGTCCAACCTCACAGAAACCCCAAGGGAACTTTAATATCAGCTGGAAGGGGATCTTCCCTTTTGATACATTGCAGATATTGCTGTTGAAACTCAATTTAAAAGACTATGGTGACCATGTTCAAAGTCAATGTGCTCATAGGAGCTCAAGAGCATGGAGACCTCCCAGCATATATGTGCTTCTGATGTTCCCTAGTGCAGTTTTGTTCTGAATAAATAGATAAATTTGGGGTTATTGGATACAAATCTTCCCAAAATAGAACAAACCCGAAACAAAACAATGACAGCTACAAGACCCAAACCAACACACTCGTGAATGTGCAGACAGCTGCCCATTCTACAGTACTGAACCTCATCCACAGCTAGAAAATTAAATAGGTCTTTAACTCAGCCACATTTACACGTTACATACATAGAATCCACTCAAACTTTACATGTAAACTTCTTTGGATACCCGAAAAAAAAAAAAATTAAAATACAATGTAATATGCAGGTATTCAAGTACAAAGAGCTCCTGGATTGTTTTGTTTGCACCAGTGAAAGAACAAAAATAGAGGTTTTGTTCCTGTGTTTGGTTTGCAGCCTCTGTAGGGAACAAAGGTTAAGAATTTGGAGCCTCAGGTAAAAACATTCGGATTTGCTGCTGACCTTCTATGTGCCAAAGGATCTGGCCTAAGAGGCTGGAGAGTAATAGCACTGAGACTCTGTCCCCTGTTGTTTGTGTCCTGGTCCTGCTGTGGGTGTGGAGGGGGGAAGAGGGGGATCACAGCCCACACTGGCATTGCTTTGATCGACTGGAGTTTGGCTTGTGGCGAATTTTCTTCCCTC